ACTGTCCAGGGACCTTCTGATTTTCGACATACAGAAAAACAAAAACAAAACAAAACAAAAACCCCCAAGATTCCTAAAAGCTCTGGTGACTGCTAACTTTATTCATCTGACATGTGACATGCTTCCAATCTGGGCATCAAACAGAAGCCTCAGCATTCGAAGTCAGTCTTTATTTTCCAGTGCTGGGGATTACAGGCAAGGCCTCACACCCACCAGCTAAGTGCCCTGCCACAGAGCCTGTGTGCTCACAGCCTTAGGCTCTCTAGTGAAAGCAGAATCAGTTCCAGTTTGTAGCTGAACTCAGAATATTTTTAACACATTGTTTCTTTTAAAGGGAATCCAAGCAGAGACCACAGAAAAAAGCATCCTGCAATAGTATTTCCTGACAGACTTGAGTTTTAAAATTGTATACTTATTGGCAAAACCAAATGTGAGCTTTAAATCTGGTGAAAAGCTTTCTGAACAGAAAATTTATTCATTGGGAAAAAAAAATCCTCACTCCCTCACTCTCCTTACTTAGTGAAAGAAAGTGTGCAAAGCAATGCCTTGCACTGGAGTCCATGGGGTATGCTAACTAACATTTTTAGGTCCACAAAGTTAGCCTTGCTAACTTTGCAAGCCACATGTCCTTATAAAAAAGGAACACTTTTGTTGTAACAGTGAAAAGAGCTCTTGCTGGAATGTTTTTAATACAGTGGCTTTTAGAATGTGGGTTCTGGGGGGTGGGGGGCAGAGGCAGGAGCCGGCGCAAGCCTTTAATCCCAACACTTGGGAGGCAGAGTCAGGCGGATCTCTGTGAGTTCGAGCCAGCCTGGTCTACAGAGTGAGATTCAGGACAGGCACCAAAACTACACAGAGAAACTCTGCCTGGCGGGGGGGTGGGGGGTGGGGTGAGGGGGGAGAATGTGGGTTCTGGAGAGAGAAGGTATAAGTTCAGATTCAAGCTCAGTTTTGTTGTTTTAATTATTAGCTAAAAAATATCCATCCTCCACTACTCTTTGAAAAATACAGAAATAACTGCCGACTAACAACTGAAAACTCTGCTATCAATGCTATCATCGCATTGATATATATGATGGACATAAGTACAATCTAGGTGGAAATATTTACAGCAGCATTTTTACAAGGCTCTAAGAATGGAATTTGCAATACAGTGATTACTCTGTTAGCTATTAAAATTATTATTATTAATTAGCAAAACTTAGAAATGTCCATCAAATAGCTAAATCCTAATGCAGTTGTTTAATATGTGAAGCAAATGAAGACAGTAGAGTTAAATCTATCAACAACTGAACCTCAAAGACAATGTTAAATAAAAAAAAACACACTGCAAAATAGCTTTTGTAATATACTATGAATTACCCAGGAATACTAAGATATGTAACAAAAATTGTAATATTTATATGCAAATAGGAAAGACAACATGGTATGCTATTAGGGGCTTCACTGGAATCTGCAATGATTATTTTTTAAAAAGAGACAGAAGCAAAAAAGGGTTCATTATATTATTCCTTATATCTTTCTAAGCATCTCAAACATTTCCTGATTTTTTTTTTTTATGAAACAAGTGGATAACTTAATCATAAGACTTAAAAATATGAATAAATTTTTCTTGGGTTATAATATGCTAGTTTCTCAAAAAAGAAAAATAGATCAAACATTAAAACTAGCTTCCATGATCAACTGTGAGGGTCCTGCATTAGATTCATGCTAAAAGAATAAAACACCAGGAAGTTTGTACGTTTTGCATTTAGGTTAACTCCTCAGTTCCATTCAGAAATTACAAAACAAAAATCAGCCAGGTGGTTGGGGGTACACTCCTTTAATCTCAACACTGGGGAGGCATTGGCAGGAGGATCTGTGAGTTTGAGACCAGCTTGGTCTACAGAGTGAGTTCCAGAACAGCCAGAGCTATACAGAGAAATTATCTTGAAAAAAAAAAAATCAAACAAACAAATCATTGTGGGCAAATCAGACATTTCCGTGGACTGAGACTGAAACTGCTCTGGATTTGCTATGGAGCCCAGATGAGTTTGCAATCATGTGGCTCCTGTCAGCCTCCACATGTTCACAGGCCTGGCATCAAAAACATTATGGATATAAACTCATTTCTAAGCTCTAGAAGTTTCCTCCTGAGCTATTACAATCTTGGTCTAAAGCTCTCAAATGTTAGTCTTAAGAATTACAATTTCGATAAGACACCCTCCACACATACACCACCCCCACAAAGACAGTGACAAAGAAATTAAAACATCAACAATTCACCAGCACACCAAGTCATAGAGTTCTACAGCTCGGTTTACTTTTACAAACGTCATACAGTTAAGGTACCCGAGAATCTGGCAGTACCTGTACCTATCGCGGCCTCCATCCCGAGCGCTGCTGTGACTGTGACTTGTGCACAGTTTACTGAAGGAAACTAGCTTCAGGTCAAGTTCATTTTCCAGCTGTCGAGCTTGTTTCCTGAGATCTGTGAGGAAATTACAAAAGCAAATCATTTTCCACCAAGAGACATTAAAATCACAAGACAATTTTGAAGAAAGCCAACTATTGTATATTGATCTCTGATCTAGCTCCCCAGAAATGGAAGACTTACCCAAGAAAGTAAATTAGCCATGTCTTTAAACTTCAGACAGGAGCGCTAAGAGAAGCAGCGGTAGGAGACACACAACCTGTCTGTCACTCTTCTTTTTTTTTTTTTTTTTTTTTTTTTTTTTTTCGAGACAGGGTTTCTCTGTGTAGTTTTGCGCCTTTCCTGGAACTCACTTTGTAGACCTGGCTGGCCTCGAACTCACAGAGATCCACCTAGCTCTGCCTCCGGCATGCTGGGATTAAAGGCGAGAGCCACCACTGCCGCTGTCACTCTTCTTTAAGAGACAGCTTGACAACCAATGCCCTAACATTCCTGAGATTACTTTTACAGCAATAAACCAAAGTTGTAACTTGAAGGAAAACAAGAGAATATAAATCACAAAGATATGAAAATGGTTTATGACCACCACATCAATTTACCAGCTAACTTTATAAGAAGCCTGCATTCTTTTGGTCTTTTTTGTTTTGTTTTGTTTTGTTCGAAACAGGGTTTCTCTGTGTAGTTTTGGTGCCTGTCTTAGAACTCACTCTGTAGACCAGGCTGGCCTTGAACTCACAGAGATCCACCTGCCTCTGCCTCCCGAGTGCTCCAGCTTGCCTGCATTCTTTTTGAAAGACATTTCCTTTTATGTTTCAAAGCTTTGTTAGGATTTATTATACAGGTAAAATACTTTAGCAATTAAACACAAAGAAAAAGCAAGTCAACAAAAACTAAAAATGCTTTTTCAAAAACATAGGGGAAAAATAGAGGTTAAAAACTAACTGTACTATGAACAAGGCGAAATACAAATCTAACAGGTTTATTTAAAAGCATATGTTTTAAAAGTAGAAGCAAACAGATAAAAAGGTGTAACAGCTTGGCTTCTAAAGGGCTGAATGAAAGAAGCCATACCAGGAAATTCATATATATATATAAAATCTGAGTATTCTTATTCATGGTAGAGTTCGAATGAAAGGCTAAAATACAGGAAGGAATAATGTAAGAACGTCTTAGGAATACAATGCAGTGAAAGGCAGGAAGCAGAATTATATGACGGAGTAAACCTACCCAGCGACCAAATCCCACTTCGAATGTCAGCTCCGCCACCTACTGTCTTTGAGATTTACTGATGATTCAGTTCATCTAAAAACTTCAGCCTTCAGCTTTAAAGAATCTAGCACAAGGTATATTGCCAATAATGACTTGCTATAATTATTACAACATAGTGTTTCATAGCCTAATGACTATCAAAGATACCAGTAGCCACTTCTTCATAATTTAAAAGTAAATTTTAGCTACTACAACTATTCCCAATAGGGCATTTGAAATACATATTTTAAGCTCTAGGCATGTTTCTCTAACCATAGTTATGTCCAGTGGGAAATATCAAGTAAAAAGCATTTTGAAAATATGACAGATAGGAATTTAAAATTCAGTCCTTTATGTCAAGAGGTTGATGATAAGAATACCATACTTTCCAGGGGCTTCATCAGTCAGAAAGAGGAAATAGGTTAAAAAAAAAAAAGAAAGAAAGAAAGAAAGAAAGAAGCAAACAGTTAAATGAAAATATAAGCCATTTCTGATTGTTGTGGCTCATCGTGGTCTAGGAATGTTTTATATGACCTCACTTGATGGGACCAGATTTTCAGGAATTAAACACACCTGAATGTTCTCTTGGTGAGAGAAGGATAGCAAATGTATCGATTAGGACCCTTTATCATCTTAACAAAACCGATCTTGGACTCCAGGACAGAAGGTAAAGTTATTTTCAGTATTCTGTCCCCCCATCCTCGGTGAAGTCTCAATCTTAAATTGCCAACAGGGGTCCAGGAGGAGACATTCCTCGCAAACTTTGCCCAAGGCCGGGACTGACAAGTTCCTCTCGCTCTTAGTTTTCTGACAGTGCCCGCAACTCCCAGGCTCTGACTACTCGTCTTCCGGGCTCCACACTCGTCTCCTGGCAAGAGTTGGTCCCCAAAGCCCTACCGCAGAGTCTCACCACCCTCAGCTACGTCCACCAGGAGCCTCAGGCGCCTCTCCCTCCCCTTCCCCGCTCCCTCCACGCCGCCCAACCCCTTCCCGGATCCGGCTCACTCCGCCCCAGCCTCTTGCTCAAGTTCCCAGGCCCGGGGCTCCTCCCGGACCACCTCCTCCCGCCGTGTGGCCGTTCCTGAGGTCTGTCTCTTCCCTCTGCTGCCTTCCTCAAGACCCAGCCCCACTCAGTCCCCTGTGCACCGGCAGGAGCCACCCGGAGGCCTCGCCCTCACCTTCCCAGTAATTGCTGGACCCCGCCGCCATCTTTGTTGCCCAACGTCAGTCGGGACGGGAGAGTAGAGGCGTTGCGGGCCAGAGAGTCACCTCCACGCCTCCTTCCACCCAGAGCGCCAGGGCTGATGGGACGTGCGAGTCTCCGTAGATAGCTCCACCTGGTGGACAGTTCGCTATTTTACAGCCTGAAGTGGCACGTTAGAAAACTTCGGTTTAGCTTATGACGCGGCCTGAATCTCTCTTTTTAGGGCCTCCACCTTCGATTCGTTCGTCTTAGGCTTGCTCCTCCTTTTAGCAGGTGACTGAGAGGAGAGACACTCACAGTTCCCGCATGTCCCCCTAACTAGATGTTTGGGCACTTGGGGGGTGGGGTGTAGTTTAGTGTGTAAGATGCCTGCCTTAGATGTATGTAAAAGGCTCTGGGTTCGATCCCCAGCACTCCGTAAACAGAACATGGGGTAGCACATGCCTTCAATCCTAGTACTCAGAAGGTGGGGATAGGAGGATCAGAAATTAAGGTCATCCACGGCTACGTAGGAAGTTCGCAGCTAGGGATAAATGGAACCCTGTCTCAAGGGGGAAAAGGCATCTTCAGTCAGCATTTTCCTTTCTCGGAGCTAGAGGCTCTGCCTCATTCCACCTCTCCACCTGTGCCCATCTTCCTCTCCCCAGCATGTGAGGCTTTCTCCACTCCCTGGTTTCCTTATGTCTACAGCAGAGCTCAGTCTTCTGTCTCCTTTCTAATCAGCAAGGGTGTGCTAACTGCTTCCTTCCCTTTCCTAATGTGCCCACAACCCAAGCTCACCGATTGGGTTAGACTGGCCGCCCGCAAGCCCCACTTCTGCTGCCCCGTGCCGGGATTAGAGACATAGGCAGCTCTGCCTGGCTTTTCATGTTTGTGCAGGGGATCTGAACTCACATCATGCTTGTATGCCAGGCACTTTACGGGTTGAGTATCATATGCATTATATTAATAAATGGTTATGTGTTGTTTATTGAGAAGCTGGCTGTGGACATAGGGTTGCCACTTCCTGCCCCCCCCCCATACACACACTTCATACCCAAGAATGTCTCTCTTAAAGTGTCTCATCAGATGCCCCGTCTGGGGATGGGCTGGCTGGCTGGTCCTTTGAGGAGGGAAAAGTAGAACAGCAAAATGGCCCAAAGAGTCAAAATACCATGTCCATGAGAACAGAAGAGAGTAACGTGTTTGAGTCTAAACACTGTGACCTTGATCACAGCTGGAGGGCCAATCATTCCCATTCACCTTCCCAGAATAAAGACGCCTGTGGTGGGGACGGCTCATTGGCAGTGTGACCTAAGAGAAGACTTTCTTCCTGGAGCCCTTCTGTGGATCAGAGGCTCCAACCGACTGTTTCTGTTCTCCAGGCTTCCGCAGTTGCTTTCTGCTGGATGACGTAAGTGTCTGATCTCATGAACTACTACCTCCTTCCTGTTGGCTGTTTCATTCTTTTACTTCCGCTTGCTGTATACCTAAAAAGCGCATTCATTTGAAAAGAGCATGGCTATTGCAGATCATTCTTCAGACAGAACACTGAGCCCTCTCCCCCCCAATGCCCGCCAGTACTCATTTCTAAAACTCTATTCCCCGTTGTTCTGGTTGGAGAATATCCGTTCTTCTGTCTACACGTTGGTTAACAAACAACTGGGTCCTTCCTCTGCCCCCTCCATGTCGCTGCTGAACCTATTTGGTGAGTTTATTTCAATTATTGAATTTTTCAGATCTGAAAACTTGCACTCACATCCTCACGTTCTTTTCCTTGTGAACACAATTTCCTGCTGAGACTCTGAAACATCATTTGTTGCAAGTTTGTTTATAGACGAGTGTGGTGGTGCACAGCTTTAGTCCCAGCACTTGGGAGGCAAAAGCAAGTGGATCTCTGAGTTTGAGGATGGCCTGGCTTACATAGTGAGTTCCAGGACAGTCAGGGCTGAGTAGAAAGAGTCTATCTCAGAGAACAAAATAAACAAGCAAAATCAAAAGAGTTTGTTTATAAGTGCTCTCCAAATTGTTTTCATCATAGGTGTTTTTAATTCTTCGTCAGATAATCCTGACATCTGGATGTTGGAGTCCATTGGTTGTGCTCTTTCATTAGTTTACATTTCCTGGGGTCTTGGTGTATGAGTGATATATGTCTGTCTATGTATGTGTCTTGAGTATTTTAGGGTGGGGAAAAGATGCATCAGTTGGTAAAGCAAGCCCAAGGACATGAGTTCGAATTCCCTAGCATCCATGCACCTATGTTAAAAATAAATAAGCCAGGAATAGTAGATTGAATTTGTAACTCTAGTGTGGGTGTTGGGGGTAGAGTGGGGAGATGGCCAGATCGCAGGAGCTCATTGGCAGCCCCCAACCTTGTGGAACCTGTGAAGCTCCAGGTTCAGTGGGTGACCCTGTCTCAAAAATCCAGTGGAGCCGGGCGGTGGTGGCGCACGCCTTTAATCCCAGCACTCGGGAGGCAGAGCCAGGTGGATCTCTGTGAGTTCGAGGCCAGCCTGGGCTACCAAGTGAGTTCCAGGAAAAGGCGCAAAGCTACACAGAGAAACCCTGTCTCGAAAAAACAAAAAAACAAAAAACAAAACAAAACAAAAACAAAAAAAAAAATCAAGTGGAGAGTGATTGATGGAGACATCCAGCATCCATGTCAGGCCTCCACACGGACACAAATGCATGCATATCTGCATGTATACACACACACACACACACACACACACACACACACACACACACACACACAAATTATCTCTCACACAGAATAGAAAATTAAAGATTAAAAATGTATTGTGAATATTTTAGGTATTATAAATTTCATGGTTGGAATGTGAAATGTCCTCCCACAGAGTCATGTATTTGAACACTTGGTCTCCAGTGGGTGGTGCTATGTAGGTTGTGGAACCTTTAGGAGGTGGAGTCTTGCTGGAGGCGATGAAGTCTTTCCAAGTAATAACATATTAGAAAAACATAGTTTTCTCTAAATGAGCCCATGTTCCCTCGTTACTAGGCCTCTGAGTTTGTTCTCCCATGGTAGGTGGGGAGAGCCCCACAGCAGCTGTGCACGAGCCTAAAGTCCAATGGCACTTTAGACCTCAGCTGAAGACCAGCAAAAAAACGTCCATATGCAGACTAGAGATAGAGACATGAACCAGGAACTGGGGGAGATGGTTAAAGTGTTGCGCAAATGTGGGGACCTGAGTTCAGATTCCCAGCACTGGCGTAAATGCCAGGCAAGTGTGGTTGCTTGCCTGTAATCCCTGAAGCAAGCTGGCTAGCTAGGCTAGCCAATCAGTGAGCTTTGTTCAAGTAAGAGAACCAGGAGAGCAGTGAGGAAGACACTTGACAGGAACCTCTAGTGTACACATGCACATACACATGTATGTATGCCTATACACATGCACACATGCATATATACATGCACAGATGCCACACAAACATAGGCATGCAATATAGAAGAATGAATCAAAATCCATGGTATTTTTTCGTGAGTTAGAGGATCTGCTCCTACAGACTTAATCATCTGTAATACTTAATAACCTTAATAATCTGTAATTCTACAGATCTTAGTCTCGTATTTACTGCTGTTAGTGGGAATGCTGAACTGAAGATTTCTTGAGGTGTTCCTGAAGGGAGCCCTGGCAGACAGCTTTTCTTAACTGTTCAAAAATGTGCCATGACTTTCCAACAGAGTGTCTTCTTGGAAGAGACAACAGGGTATTGACATTGGGTTTCCTACAGTCTCTGTCTACATTGAAAGGTAGGGTTTTCAAACACAGATTTACACATAGAAACCAGGTTGTGTGGACACCATGTGTGACAAGAAAGCAATGCTCAGGTCAATCTCATTTATCTAGTAGAAGACATGGAAGCCTCTAAACCTATCCCTCCTTAGTCTATTGAGAGTTCCTTTTCATGCTTCAGGGTGAGTATGTACGGCTTCCCATAGAGAGGTTCACAAAACCCAGTCATCTGAAAACACTTCATTAATTTGAAAATGAGAAGCAAAGAGCTATTCCCCGACCAGTACCTCCTTATTAGACCCTCCTCCCCATTAACATGTAACATAAGCATTTATACTTTTCTAACATAGAAACGCCAACACAAATATGTAGCATCATTACATAGCAGTTCTTTAATACAGAACCAGTTACTCTAAGGGTGTGCAAGAGATTTAGAAAAATATCTCTAATCAAAGCTCCCAGCACTAGACCATGCCAAACTCAGAATGTTTGCTTTAGAGAGCTCTTTACCTGTTTCTTTGGATGCACCAAAGATCCACACCAGGCAGCTCGGCAGCACAGAGGTGTGCCAGCCCCAACAGGAGCTTCGCTGTCAGCAAACTCACACCTCAGGGGCAAGGAGAGGAGACACTGTGAGTGTGCCATTTAGGACCCAGGAAAGGCCCTACCTAGCTTGGAGGACCTGAGAGATGAACCCTGGCAGGGGGAACGAATGGGAAATGTCTTAGGGTTTCTATTGCTGTGAAGGGACAACCATGACCACAGCAACTCTTATGAAACATTTAATTGGGTGGCTTACAGTTCAGAGGTTTAGTCCATTATCATCATGGTGGGACATGGTGGTGTGTAGGCAGACATGGTGATGGAGAAGGAGCTGAGAGTTCTTCGTCTTGATCTGCAAGCAACAGGAAGTGAACTCTGTCACTGGGCTTAGCTTGAGCATAGGAGACCTCAAAGCCCACCTCCACAGTGGCACACTTCCTCCAACAAGGCCATATCTACTCCAACAAAGACACACCTCCTAATAGTGCCACTCCCTTTTGGGGGCCATTTTCTTTCAAACCACCACAGGAAATGATGTGTTAAAGGTGGGAAGCTGGATTCTCTTTCAGACTAGGAGGAGATCCTGCCTGTAGGTAAGGTGTAGGAGTCAAAGGCTATACAATCATCATGTAATGGAATCTCTATCACATGAGACAAACAGCAAGGACTCTGCCCCCTGACTGATTATGGCATCCTCTAATGCCTGGCTCAGCAGATCTTCAACACTGTAACCCATGAAAGAGTCAAGGAAACGGGCACTAGTGCTGGGTGTGTTCTACGAAGCTGTCACTAAGATTGTTGGGGTCTCACCAGGGCATTGGGGTTCATGTTGGACAAACCTACAGATGCAGTATGAGTGCCAGGGGATAATCTGCAGTGTTCTATGAGTCTTTCCTGATCAAAGTTTTCAGGAATGTAGGATATGATATGATATGATATGATATGATATGATATGATATGATATGATATGATACGATAGCAAGGTACAATAGTTTGAGGTATTCCTTGGCTTGGCAGAAGAACTACATCCCTAGTAGTAACTTTTGCCTCTTCCATAATATACTTCTGGTTTTGGAACAGGTAGCCACATGGGTTCAGATCTCAGATAGAGTGGATTTTTTTCCTATAATGCTGGGCATTGGACCTAGGTCTTCCACATCTAGGCATGTGCTCTATCACTGAGCTATAACTCCAGCCCTTGTGTGTGTGTGTGTGTGTGTGTGTGTGTGTGTGTGTGTGTAGGCCAGAGGTTGAAGTCAGTGTTTTCTTCAGTTGTCTGCTTTATTTTTGGATACAGGATCTCTCACTGAACTGATCTGGCTAGACTGGCTAGCCGGCAAACCGAAGGGATCGTCTTGTCTCTGCCCTCCCAGTACTGAGAGTGTGTGCAGCCTCAGCCAGATTCTTATGTGCACGCTGGGGAATCAAACCAGGTCTTCATGCTTGCACTTTACTGAATGAGCCATGTCCACCTCCCCTTCCCTCACCAGCCCTTTTTAACTTCAAATTTTGCGACAAGAGTCTCACTAAATTGCCTGGTTTAGCCTTGAACTTATTCTGTACCCTAAAAGCCTTGAACTCTTAATCCTCCAGAGTAGCTGGGGCTATAGACCTATAGTCTGGCTGGCCCATAGGAGTTCTCAGGGTATCTAGATGCCTCTGTTCTTTGTTTACTGCTTGGGTGCCACACCTTGGATATTCATCTTGCTCACATCCCAGGACACTTAGGTTTCCCTGGCTTCAGACATTCAGGTAGCCAGAGTAGCTCTCTCCCCTGCTCCCCAGCACTCCTTACCCCATCTCCCCCCAACCCCTTTTGAGATGGATGGTTTCAGTTTGCAATTTAGGGAAGGATATTGGCACACAGGCAGACATGGTGCTAAAGAGGAGCTGAGAGTTCTACATCTTGTTCCCAGGCAGCAGGAGAAGACTGTGCACCACACTAGGTGTAGCTTGAGCATATATGAGACCTCAAAGCCCGTCCCCACAGTGACACACTTCCTCCAACAAGGCCACACCTCCTAATAGTTCCACTCCCCATGGACCAAGCATTCCAACCCATGAGTCCATGGGGGCCATTCCACTTCAAACCACCACACCCACTGAGTCATTTCTCTGA